GATTATTCCGGGTATTAAGCGAGAAAATAGAACGGGAAAGGGTAACAAAAGACTGGTTCATTTGTTAATTATAATCCTGATAAGGCGACTTTGTTTCCAATTAATTTCGCAAATTTAACGTCGCTTCGAAATTTTGAACTGATATTGAAATTTTCCTTCTTATGTATCCACCTATTTCTCGCGGAAAGGCTGATGGAGAAACGATGTACATTTGGGGCAATCGATAAATAAAAAAACTATATATAAAATTTAGTTTGGATCATTAATATTTTGATCACTTGAAATATTCTGTATTAATGTAAAAGCAAAAATCAGATATTGCTTGATGGTGAGCTTGTTGTGGGATTATTTTTGTAGTACTCATAAGAGAAATTTGAGAAGATATCAAATATTTAAATAGTAGATATTAAATATTCAACTTTTTGTTATTAGGTGTAATTTAGGTATATTTCGGTCGGAAGGCTTTAATATTTTATTCGGAACAACATTCCTAAATCTAAACGTGCGCCTAAACTTACTCTCCGGTGTTTTCTCGAAAACAAAGGACATAAATTACGTTAACAGCTGTAGTTGTATACCTGGCCCATTTGTCATGGACGGTTGTCACAAAAATATATGATCTAATTCAATTTTTCCGTTTTCGTCCCTTATTTTTTCCCGTTTCTATTCCTTTATTTTTGTGAACACACGTCGAGAGTCAAGATCGCAAATGTCAAACGTGAAACAGGCTCGCTTTATTTAATTTATGCCATTTGATAGATGGGAATAATAGCTTTACCTCGACTTTACCTGTTTTTTTCCCTAAAAAGGACTATTTGCCCTATTGGTGTAAATAAAGGAACAAAATTAAAGTTGTTAAATGTGTCAAAACATTATATTATCTAGGTAATACAATATAAAGAATAACATGGATAAATCCTTTTAGTTAACTTAAATTGTTTAAAACGTTTTAGCAGGAATTAACAGCATCCATTTGGACACGACATGCATGCTCGGAATCCCTGCGAGAGTATTTCGGCGTCTTTTTATTACAGTTAACGCTTCTGAAAGGCGAATAAGGGGGATCTAACGAGACTATCGATTTTTCCTGCAATTTCTTTCGTTCTGCCGCTTGTAGATTAGAGGGATTTAGGGAAAGATCGGATTTATTATCATTTTCAGGAAGGTCGGGATAAAAGAACAATATGAAACCTTAATATTTTTTGAGAAGGTCGCCTCGAAAATGAGAATTTATGTATTTGTTTAGATAGTATCACGAAACGAAAGTGGATTTTATAACGTACGGAAATTGGGGATAAGTACCCGCTGGGATACAATTTTGTTCAATTTTAAGGCGATTGCATCGCCTTGTGTGCCCAATTTGTGATTTAATAAAGAAAATTTAAGATCACATTTATTTTTTATTAAACTAGGTGTTACATGTAGTATGTAAAGCTAAAGTAATTATAAATTTTTGCGCTAATGGAACACCTAATTAGACATACAATATTACATTTTTGGAGCCAATGTGTATTAGACACCTAAATTAAACTTTCTCTTATCAAATTATTCTGTCGATTACACAGCAATATTTCAAAATAGGCGTTGTAGGAGAAAAGTTCCCCAAGAAGTTATGACGAGCGAAAAATTGACCCAATAAGGGACGCCCGCTGGGTACTGACATTCTGTTTTGTCTCTCGGATAAAATCTCGTTTTTTTCCGAGACCTCTTTTATAGAACGCGCCCGCGATTTACCAGAGGATAACATCGAATTTGCATAGAACCGTGCTAAAAGTATTTTTTTGCGAGCTAACTTTCAAACAAAGCGAAATATTGATCCTCTTGACAACGACAATGCGACCACTTTCAACGAACGCAACCTACAGACACGCTGATGTGCCGGATATTGTAGATATATTTATTTTGGAATTTTACCTCGAATTTTGAATGTAAATGGGGTGCTTTTCATATCTTTTAACAATAAAATAAAGGAATTTAAGAAGCTTATCGCAAAATATGCGGAAGCTCCACCTCATGCAAAACCTGCGAAATCCTGGGTATAGGTACTCGTATACTGTCTTTTATTTCATGGTGTTGTTAATTACAAGAGTTTTCAGTATTCACCTAGTTCTCCATTGGAACAAAACAAGACAACGCACGCTCTAAATTTAAACGGTAAAACCCTTCCGGCAGAAGATTAATTAATTCTCAAGGTTTTATATAAAGAATTTGTAAAGGCAAAAGCGTAGCTATACATGCGAAACGTAAATTCGAACGTTTCGCTTAACCCAATAATACAAGTTCTGATTAAACCGTCAAATTTTTGTTCATACCCCATTAAAATTCCTCCAATGTAATTATTCAAATTAATTACTCTACTATTCCATGGAAACGTTTGTAATTGCCTATTAATCAACAGACAACGAACAGCAAAACAAGAAAATACAATTTACATCTTCCGTTAAACTTTAAATTAAGAAACTTATTAGAATGCAAACTAATTATAATTATAATTAATTATCACTTCAATGGAAAACGATCAAATAGGCGTTCATTAAACTTATATTTCGGAAATGTTCTGTTCTAGACTCCGCTGAATATTCAACAATTGAAGATATCTAATAAATATTTCATCATTTAAATGGGAATTGATAGTCTGATTTAGACGCAGATTCAAAAATTCCCACCCTTCCCTCGCAACGAAACAAGATATTTCATTTACCACGAGTTGATGATTAAATACTCCTTTCTAGACCATTAATTACGATTTTGACAGACAGTTAACATATTATTACAGCGTAATAAATCGGAATTTCGGGCTTAACGCTAATATCCTGCTGAAAATACATATCCAGGTTTTGTCATGTAGCATATAACTGCTTTTTGAATGCATGGAAATTTAATTTTAACCTTATTTTCACGGTCAAAACGCTGGAAACATTGTAGATTATATTCAGGCGAGAAATTCGAAATTCAGCACTTTATAAGGATAAGCGAAATCTTATGTGTTTATTTTTTTGTAAAAAATATATATATGATGTGTATCTTCGATTCCGATTGAAGCAGGTCAAGGAAAAAATTCAAAATCAAACCAACAGTATGTAAACGAACGTACTTAAAAAGTCGTTTTGAAAGATTGATTTATCAAGGACGAATTCGATAGCCATATAATTTTCGTCTAAAAATAGAAAATTATATGTGTTATTTGACATAATCCATCGATTGCAAGAGCGGCATTAAGTGAGTAATAGAAGGTGTATTTACCTAAAAAATAGACAATAATTTGAACGTTTACTTCCAATACGCAATGCGTTCATTATATAGACAATAAATTCTTGTATTATTTTAGGGCAATTGGCAAATTAAGGGGCGAATAATCCGCAAATACATTCGCAATATTTATATCACACTTATCTTGGGTAAACTAAAATGAAGATAAATTTTCCAAACAAATCCAGCAGAAATATTGAGATAAAGCGGTGTTCTATGGTCAACATAAGTGAGTTGTATATACTTTGAGCTTTACGTAAACACTCATATTTTATACTTATCTAACTTCAATCTCTTTATTGACCCAACATGAAGATAAATAACTCAACTGATTGTAATATTTTTTAAAATGCTTATAGAAGATAAAAATCGAATAATATAAAAATAATTTCCGCTTCCTTATATCCCAATGCACATAGATCCATTTTAGGTAAATTCTCAATGGAAGGGCTTACTGAAATATTTACAGAGACGACTTATTTTCAATTGCGGAGCAAGGATAGGAATCGATAATTCGGTCTCGGAATATAAAGGTTAAGGAGTTAGGTATAATAATAATTTTGTATCGAGATGCGGCTTTTTTTGAAACGAAATTCCTTCGAATTTTTCAGTATATATCATAAAAGAAAATAAAGCGTGTGTTTTATAATAAACCTCCGCCAAATTAGGTTGTTTACATTCCGGTAAATCACGTCCCGAAAAGAGCACAAATAAAAACGTTTAACCATTTTGCTCGAATTGGTCTTTTTGCGGCAATGTGTTATTAAAGAGGGGCTGCAGCTGCAAACAATGTAGCTTCCTGCGAATTTTCCATCCGAATCTCGACACGGAATATTCCATAATATTGTGCTCGTTAGTGATTTAATCTGTGTAAGCTATTACACTGTGTTTCTGACGTTCTTGTTAAAAACTCAATAAAAACTTTATAATATGTATGAAGGAATTTTAAACCTATATTTTTATAAACATTGTTTTTTGTTTGCTATTATCGCTCCAAATTTACATGCAAACTAATCGAATAACACAAAGAAAATGGTGGTCAAAAATTGGTGAACAAATTTGTGTGGAGATCGCTCCAGTTTTAATGCTAAAAATTGGCGGATGAGACACTAATATTGATAATAGAGCAACTACAAGTTGAAATTCTAGATGAACGTTGCTCTCTTCTACAGTTTAGTAAATGATTGCTTTATTTTTCTCAATTTAACAATATAAGCGAGCTTAACAGTGTGTACACTATTATATTAACCTACATTAACTCTATTTGTGTGTTGATGTTAGTGAGTAAATATCCGTGAATAATTAATTATCGGTAATGCACACAAAGCCAGGGAATTGCCTACATGTATAGAAACATCAAAGGTAATAACGATGTGTAATTGCTGATTATTTTAAATATTTCGGAATGTATTTTATCTATTTAGATTGTTCTCTGATTAATTTAACATTCCATTATACATATGTTGTTTTTGGCGGATTTCAAAGTTTGCTTAGAATAGTTTGAAACTGATTCCTAAAATTATTAGTTAACGAACTTCTATAGATATAAATAGCCATTCATGAAATGAATCGGTTCATTCAAATGTTTATATATTATATATTTGCAAGTGTACTTCTGAATTAAATTAATAATTGGTCAAGATACTTATTAATTTAAGTAAAGAAGTAGAAAGTAGTTTAGAAGTATAGCTATAAGCACACGAAAATTAAGGAAACATTTTTTTAACTTGTCGAATTTTTCATTGTTTCAGATGATTGTGCGAACGTTCAGAACATCAAGAATGGATAATTTCCATATATTGCCTGCATAGTCCTAATCACCTATGAGAATGCGTTATAATCCATCAATGACAACCAAATGAAAACACAATGATAGTAAATGCTATGGCTTCACATTCGGCAACACTAACTACGAATCTGGCGAGCGTCCTGCAAAACACCACCCTGCACAACAGGACTAACGTAACGACCATTGAAAACACCCACCCCGACTGGCTGGATTTACTGCTTTTAATCGTCAAGGGATGCGTATTCAGTATAATAATCATAGCCGCGGTCTTGGGCAACGCCCTGGTGATAATTAGTGTGCATCGGCATCGTAAACTCAGAGTAATAACGAATTATTATGTGGTGAGTTTGGCCATGGCGGACATGCTGGTCGCTCTCTGTGCAATGACGTTCAACGCTAGTGTAGAATTAACGAACGGCAAATGGTTATTCGGATACTTCATGTGCGATGTTTACAATAGCTTAGACGTTTACTTCTCTACAGCGAGTATTCTTCATCTTTGTTGTATAAGTGTAGATAGATATTACGCGATCGTTCGACCGTTGGAGTACCCGATCACCATGACCCACAAGACGGTGTCTTTCATGCTGGCCAATGTCTGGGTACTGCCGGCTCTGATGAGTTTCACACCAATCTTTCTCGGTTGGTACACCACCGAGGAGCACAAGGACTTCCGGCTCAACAATCCGGACGTGTGCATCTTCATCACTAACAAATACTACGCGGTGATCAGTAGTTCGATAAGCTTCTGGATACCGGGCATCGTGATGGTGACCATGTATTGTAGGATATACAAGGAAGCCGTGAGGCAAAGGAAGGCGCTGACCAGGACGTCGTCGAACATTATTCTAAATTCTATTCACCAGCACCGAACGTCTTACCGAGATAGATATAGTGATAGGTATAGTGAACAGTATCTTCATCCTTACGACGGGGAGCTCACCACTGTCGGGCAGGTTAATGGAAGGCGAAGCACCAGCTCCGGATCGGCCGTTTCCTACGGAACAACAATCACCGAATTCAATACTGCTATTAATACCAGAGACAGCAAAGCTGCCACCGAACTCAACGTCAATGGTAAGTGATCGTACTATATTTGCATTTTTTTTTATTTTTACAACGTTCCATATATAGTAATATATTTTCTGTAAGTGCAATTAAATTTTCGTAATCCAGAAATGCAGTAAATACGCTCATTACTGCATCGAATTACAACCCTCCCATCTGCATTCATCAGGATTTGTTTTCGCTAATTCCACTTATGTTTCTACAACTCCTGCTCATCTGGCCGTTAGACGGAAAAGTGCGCGCTTTCGGTTAATTTATCGCGAACAAAATGCATTAGAGGCGGCGATATTAATACCCTTCGAAAGGATAATTTGTAACTCGAGACGAAGTTTGACTTACCGACGTTGTTTATGGAAGATAAGTTAAATGGCTGCCGGGCGACAATAGAAACTTTCAAGAATAATTCGGAAAGTTAAAGTGCGAGGACGAGTCCTCGACTTCGTAACGGGGACTTTTCGAAAATTATTGTCGACTTGTTTTGGAAAATCCAGGAAGAAATCTTATTTATGTCATTCGGATTAATGTGTGGAGTTTTCAAGGTGAATATTGATAGAAAATTGATAGAATATTGCAAGGAGAGTGTGGGTACCTAATTATAAGCAAATGAATTTTCAACTGGATTGTCAGATAGCATTACTTGTGCACTCAAAAGGAACCATAACAGAGATTGTTATGCATCTAAAAGATCCAGTAAAATAACGTATGTATATTAGTAAATTACCTACTGAAATTTTAATTAACAAACTAAATGAATCATTTATCTTCTGGTAAAGTGAATTACCTTTCCTCTCAAAATACCTACATCAATCATTTATTGAGCTGCCCATTATAAATCCATATATCAAAGGACTTAGAAAATAAACATTTTAATATTTTAACTTCCGTAATCGATATTGTCGAAGACAATAATTTCATATTCAGCAAATCCCTTCATAGCAGGTACAACTCGCGAAGGTGCACAAACTGTTGCACTTATTCCGCTCGGTTTACATCCGTAAGCCCCGCTTAATTATTTCCCTCTTCACCTTTATCTCATTCTAGCCTAATGGATAACCTAACGCCATCAAAATTATTATTTCCACCTTCCATTCAACGCTTCTCTAATTCCTTTATCTCACCGTGCGTAGTATTCTATCCGGTAAAATACAGAATAGGAGTCGCAAGTTAAATTCAGTTTAAATCGCAAAGGATATGTTTAATTCGATGTCTATTTTCGGAAGTAATTTAGCGGAGCTTAATCCCTGTTGTTACGGAAAGAACGAAATAATTGGACCAATTATTCGCAGGCGGAAAATTTCCTTTATTCGAATTTCTGTAAAAATTTGTTTGATATGGTTTTAAAAATACCAATTACTTAGAGACGGTTGGGTTTATATAGGCTAGTAACGTTCAGATATGTCTGTATAAATAAAGGAACGAAGAGTTTATTATATCATATTCGTAGCAAATATTTTCACTTTTATTGTCCTTTATATTCCGAATCGGTTAACTAAAAAACCGGTGGAATTTTTACGCCGCCCTTATATTTTATCTTATGCGGGACATAAAATCCTTTAAATCCAGTAACCCGGACAGCTATTGCAGATATTTATGAAGTTGAAATATTCATAATTTATTATATTGCCTACTCGAATACGGCAAGAGGAAGAAATTCCTATTAATTTTATTTACATCAGGATCTTACATCAAATAATAACTTCAAACGTTTCCGCGGAACGTAATCGAGTTCAACTATACGAGGGTAGTCAAGAAATGGCAGCATTTCTTAAAGCCATCTTCTATGAGTATTTCCTTATAACTCATTCCTTAAATAAAATGTTAGCATATAGCGTATGGCATATGTGACATATTACATGCATATTAGTTGAACTCGTCTGTATATGATGCACATAATAAATAATAAGGCTGCCTGATGTGCGGGGTAGTTTTGGTTAAGGCTATGCAAATGCAGCGTCACAACTTTACCCTTTTCAATGCGGACATACTTTTTGGACGCGTTCCCAGCTATTCGGAGATGTTCGCCAAATGAGAAATAAATGTTAGCGGAGTACGAGGCGCCCCTGATCCGGCCCGGACGTCGGCGTGTTCTTTATAATGTCGCGCATGCATAAATTTATGTCAATCGTAACGGGGATGCTGATGGCGTCCTTCCATTCGTGATGGAAAATCCAGGAAAATGTGGTTTCGGTTATTTTTACTTTTTTTGCCGTTAACGTCGCATCGATTTATCTCGAATGCGTTGCGAACGACATGCGAAAACGTGAAAGGTCGAAACTCGAACCTCTGGTGCTCGTTTTCACGAAACTTTCTGTACCTACGGTTTGTTTCTCGTTGTTATTGCGAATGTTGAATGTGGAATGAGCGCCAAGATTGCATGTTGTTGTTTATTCGCTCGAAAACGAAAACAATGAAAGGAATTAAGAAGTTTTTATTTTTAATACTTCTTATACATAAATGCTATTTTCGGCTATGCTCTCCTATAAGGGGATAATTCATAATTCGTGAATATTACATTTTATTACAAAAGTCAAATGTTTGTTATTAACTCGGAATAATCTGATGAGATTGACTCGATATTTAGCTTAAGAAATCCTTAAAGCAACTTTAAAAAATCATCCCTTTTTAACAAAGGAAATCCAAATCCTACTGTTAAGAATTTAATTCAATAACAAAGAGAGAACTCTAAGTATCTATACCTAAAAATTTTCAAAATCCAATAAATATCCATCTTCAGCTCGAATCCTTACCGAAAATACATTAAAGTTATTTATGAAAACGGGGTTATCCCGAACGCGTAAAAGATCCCGTCTTAAAAGTGATTCTCGTAAAAAGTTAGACGGCTGTTATTGGAGAAAAAACTCTACAGTTTAGACCCCGAAGGCTTCTTTCAATGGCGAAGTCATTATTAAAACGGTTATTGAACATCGGATTTGTTAGCGTTTTCAAGGCTCCCTTTCTGATGGAACAGGTATATTTATGATTAGATTGGGGTATAGGTATCAGATGGAAAAGATACATGTAGCAAAAAATTGAAGGGAGAATTTAATATAGAATTTCAGCTTTAGTGTTGAGAAAGTAAATTAAGTTCGCAGAGATGGGTTTTTATAAATCTAATCAATATGTTTGTATAACGGTAGGCTGTAAAAATCATCAAAAAAAACCCGTAACAAATTTGTACTCCCTATATTGCTTCCACGAAAACACATGGTAATCGAAGGGTGGTGACAAATATTTTATTTCGACAGGTTGTTAACCCTACTCCATTTAGAAAATTCGCCTTTGTTCTACGCGTTCGAGTCCTGCCAAGATCCACGTCAGGCATTTTTTATTCTCGACGTGTAATCACGTCGATGTTCTTGAATATTGCTGGGATAAACTGAAAGCATAGCGGAAAAAACAATAAAACGTCTGTTACGATTTGCCGGGAACGGAGGAAACTCAAAGTTAGCCTGCTTCGTGACATAGGAATATTTAACGGACTGCAGTTAGTTAGGAAAAGAGTTAATTAAATCTCCTGTCGCCGAATGGATAAGTTGGTTTATTTTTGAATGGATTCATCCGCTCGGGAAATTATTAAGTTACATTGCAAATGCATTTTGCTGTTACTTCAAAAATTTAATGCTCTCTGAGTTGCGACAAACTTTTTATTTTTTACTTTTGATGATTTTATTATTTGTTTAGTAACAATTTAATTCGATATTTCGATTTGCTAAAAATAAAATTCTTGCAAATCGGTGAAAAACTTATTTTGAGTTTCCTTACAAACATAAACGTAATTTATTTTGATTAATCTTAAAGAACTGACGAAAATTTCGTTAAAGTTTATTCAAGTCTTATGACAAACGTGGGTGTTATTTATCTTAAAAAAGTTTTTGTGCGATGCCTACTAATAAATACGCATTTCGCCAATTTTTATTTTATTTTATCTGACTGTAACCGAATTCGGTGTAAATAAAACAATTTTGTGACAATCGCACGTTTTTCCAGTTTTACGTTACTATAACGATTTTATTACTAAATACAGCATATATAAAAAAGTTCGCCCCCTTTGAGCAATAAAAAATAAATAAAAGGACAAAGAAAATTATGAGTCTGGTAATAAATTATTAGAAAAGGGATATAACTTGGTCATAAAATGTGTTAATAACTCGTAAGTAATAAATACCGCAGTGATATAGTTGTGTTTTATTAGACAATAAGCATGTTGTATTTTAAATATGACTATTAAAATACCGGGTGAATATAAATTAAACGATATTTTCGTTACAACAAGAAGTTGTAATCCTTCAATTAAATCGCCAATATTAGTATAGAACTATGTTATTACTAACTAGAAAATAAACTTTTAAAATCTCAATTACTATATTTCATTTTGCTATTCTTAACAACCATTTTTGAACATTTAAAACTCCTTAATCAACCATTATCTTTGGAGTTCGAGTAATAACTTCGGAGATAAAAGTTTAATTCTGGGGTGATAATTTTCCTGGCTACATAAAAAACGAATGGAAGAACCGGGAGGAAAATATGACCTCTTTCTGGAATCATTACTATGGAAGTTAAAAACTCCCGCATTGTCGACGAGAGCGAACTCGGGAATTAGTATTTGAAAATTCTCGAAATTCGTAATGGTTCGGTAGAAGGATAGAAGAAGATTCAATAGCTTTATATACAATTTAGCTGACGTTAATGATAAACAGTTACCGAATCCTGTTGCTAGGTTAACTTAGCCAATAGGATTCTGTTTACAAAAACATGCGGAGATGAGACGAAACAAACGTAATTAGGTAAATATTTTTTTCGATGGTTGTTTACGATCGTTTTAACTTAATGGATGCGTTTTGCACTCTTCGCAGCGCTTAATTAACTGCGTAATTAACTTAAATAATTTCCAAACGGACACGTTAATTTCGCCTAAAAATTCGCATAATTCCCGCAAATGAAATTCACTCGGCCCCATTTCGCGTCTGGCTGTTTCAAAGAATTTAATAAATTTCAATTTCGTCGAG